CTTTAAAGGGGTCATATGATGTTGCTAAAAATAACATAATGTTGTGTATTTGGTGTAATGAAATGTGTTTATGCAGTTTAAGGTTAAAAAAACACATTATTTTCCACATACTGTACATTATTGTTTCTTCTCTATGCCCCGCCTTTGTGATATGCGTTGATTTTTACAAAGCTCATTGTTCTGAAAAGCGAGGTGTGCTCTGATTGGCCAGCTATCCAGTGCATTGTGATTGGCCGAATTCCTCAAGCGTGTGACGGAAATTGTACGGCCCCTACCATACTGTGATGCCGTGTCCTGGCGCGACGAGACAAAACCAATAAAACCCATTATAAACGAGGCATTCATTGCATCCAGTGGGGGACATAATTATGGATTATAATGACTTATACTGTCTTTTTACGCGTTGCATTGCATCACGCCACGTAAACATAAAACCATGTCTGCATTTGTGATCGGAGAAATTACAAACAACAAGTGCTACTCTACACTGCCTTTGCGTGAACATTTTGGCGGTGTTATGCAAATCTTCCCACACAGTGACGTAGACATGTGGGGGTGTGTTTAAACGAGGCGTTTTAGGGGGCGTGGACGAGTCTTAACTTTTATAAAGAATATCTCTTTGGATTTGAGACTTTAGTCTTTGCAACTTTAGGGATCTTTCCTATTCACGGACAGCTTGTAACACTCCAAAGAGAAAGGAAAACTTGAAATCGCATTATGACTCCTTTAAAACAGTAAGAGACATCTGTAAAGCGATCACACTGGAAAAAATTTGGTGTAGAAACAATTTTCTCTCAGAAATTGATAGTAAATCCCTCAACTAATTACAAAGAAACATCAAGTAACACATTGACTTAAATGTGAATTTTTTAAGTATTAGTACTTTCTTGTAAAATGTACTCCAATAATCTTTATTTGCAACTTTTAAAATTTTTACATTGCAATCCATTGCAGAATAGTCTCTGCAAAGTATTGCACAGACAGCACTGATGAAATTAAGGCAAATATGTGTTGCTACTAATTGCTTCCAACACAGTTTGTAAACCGTTTTTCCATTTAGACTGATGAAAACTTGTGTAAATTTTTTATTTAGTCAACAAAATTACTTAAGGAATCATTTTGTACTTTCTCACCAACTATAATATCTCACAAAAAAGAAAATATCACAATTCTTGTCACAATCACAGAATACTTTTTTTTTCACAATTAAATATAGGCATTTTTCTTTTTGCAATACTTTTATTTTCCCCAACATTATGCATTTTCTGTTGATTTAAAGGGATAGTTCACCCAAAAATGTATTACCCCATGATTTACTCGTGTACATGTATATGACTTCTGAAGCGAAGCGTTGGGGAGCCTACTCTATGCCTACGTCATCCGCTGGAACATCACTCTCTCGTGAACGTGCGTACAACAGTTAGCGGAAGCTAGAGATTACGGTTTATACAATTTTAAATATGGATATTTTTCTTACACAAACATATCGATTTGCTTCAGAAGGCCTTTATTAACCCCTAGAGCCGTGTGGAGCACTTTTTATGACGGATGGATGCACTTTATTTTGCTTCAAAATCTCAACCACCATTCATTGCCATTATAAAGCTTGGAAGAGCAAGGACATTTTTTAATACAACTCTGATTGTATTCATCTGAAAGAAGAAAGTTATATACTCCTAGGATGGCTTAAAGGGTTAGTTCACTCCAAAATGAAAACTCTGTCATTAATTACTCTCCCTCATGTCGATCCAAACCTGTAAGACCTTCGTTCATCTTTGGAACAAATGAAGATATTTTTTATTAAATCAGAGAACTCTCAGACCCTCCCATAGACAGCAACACAACCGTAATGTTCCCAAGTCCAGAAATGTAGTAAGGACATCGGTAAAATAGTCCATATGACATCAGTGGCTCGACGTCAATTTTGCGAAGATACGAGAATACTTTTTGTGTGCAAAGAAAATAAAAATAACGATTTTATTCAACAATTCTTCTCCCTCGAGTTACCGTCTTCCACCATTTTGGATAGTATCACAACGCATATGCACGCTTTCCCCTAAGCGTAAAAACCGCTGATGACGTTCATATGCGAGCTTTTCCCCCCTAACGTAAACTACGTTGATTACGTTCTTGGGTACTCTCCAAAATGGCAGAAGACGTAACTCGGAGGAGAAGAATTGTTGAATAAATTGTTATTTTTGTTTTCTTTGCGCACAAAAAGTTTTCTCGTAGCTTTGAAAATGAAGTTGAGCCACTGATGTATTATGGACTATTTTACCGATGTCCTTACTACATTTCTGGACTTGGGAACATTACGGTTGTGTTGCTGTCTATGGGAGGGTCTGAGAGTTCTCTGATTTAATCAAAAATATCTTAATTTGTGTTCCGATGATGAACATGGGTGTCACGGGTTTGGAACGACATGAGGGTGAGTAATTAATGACAGAATTTTCTTTTTGGGGTGAACTAACCCTTTAAGGGTGAGTAAATCATGGGGTAATTTTCATTTTTGGGTAAACTATTCCTTTAACTAGCATGTCTAGCGGTCACATTTACCATTGTTTGGTGATTTATTTTCTTGGGTGAAATCCAGTCATTTCGACAAGAATGTGGAATTTTGTGTGAAGCGAAAGGTTTCCTCACACAGATTTAGCAAGGGGTTACGTGGATTCCATGCCAACAGAAAGCTGCTTGGTTTGAAAGCTACTGCACTATTGACAATAGACAAGGGAATTTTTTCTCCCAAATTTTGTCCAAACTTCACTAATGTGGCCACACCTTAAGTTTGTTAGGACAAGTCTTCACCTGATGCCTCAAATCTTAGGTGGTTTTGCAACTAACATTTTGTGTGTCATTCAGGTATGTCATAGGAACTCTAGAGCTTCTTGTAGCTGAGAACTATATGATTGTATACCTGAATGGAGCCACTTCACGCCGAAAGATGCCCAGTGTGGGCTGGCTTAGAAAATGCTATCAGCAAATAGATCGAAGGTGAGAATCTCATTGCCAGTATTTACCAACACAGTTCATTTGTGGGTGAACTGTCCCTTTAAATTGCTCATTCAGTTTTTATCTTCAACTTAATTTTGTTACAACCCCAAATAACCCAGAAAGGCAATTTCAAGCCAACAGCTGTTAAACTATCTATAACGTAGGGAAAAAAATTATAATAATGATAATAAATGTAAATAAAAGTGCTTAATATAAATCTATTTTTTTAATATTTTTTAAAATGAATACAATATTCCAAATAAATAGTATTAATAGGAATATTTGTTTTCAGTAAAAAAAAAAAGTCTAAATTTATGTTTGCACCACATTGTTCTGATACAGGTTAAGGAAGAATTTGAAGTCTTTGATAATAGTGCACCCGTCCTGGTTTATTCGCACCCTCCTGGCTCTCACAAAACCTTTTATAAGGTCAGTCCTTTTCTAGTTACCTTCAGATATATTTTAATATGAACTGATGTCCTGCAATGACCTTATGAATGCATTATTCAATGGAACTTTTCCAATTACAGCTCAAAATTTAGCCAGAAAATCAAGTATGTGTTCAGCCTGACAGACCTGGCTGAGCTTGTCCCGTTGGAGTATGTTTCCATACCAGACTGCATTAAACAGTAAGTATCCCTTTAATATGCCCTACTGCTTCCTATTTTTTTAAGCAGGAAATTATCAGTTTCTACTGTACATTCATTACTCTGAAACTGTTTCGACAAGCTATGCTAAATGATTACCTTCCGTACTGAAGTTTCCATACTGTTCTCGTCTCTCAGCAGTATTCCAGCTTTGTAATTATTTGACTGAAAGTCTGATCTGCTCCCAAGTACTAGCTGCTGTTGGCTGTGGTATCTTCAGAAACTCTCTATGCCCTAACCCTTCTTCCTGCCTTTCCTCTAAGGTTTGACGAAGAAAAAAATAGGAAAAAACATAAAAGGTATCTGTATTTTCATTCCGGAGATCCCTGTCGTATCTCTGTTGACCTTGCCTGAATTGCACGAAACTAACAATTAATAATTTGGCTTTATTAAGTGTACACCTATACTTGGTCACTGGACCAGAAGTTGCTTTTTTAGCTGCTTCTTTGATTGCCATCAAGATTCTAAACTATAATCATTTGTTGTAAATGCAGCTGTTTTGCACTTTAACTTTTTAAATTGAGCACAATTTGTCACTTATTTCAAAAGCAAACGTGTTGACTTGCTCTGAAATTCCTGCATTGACCTTTTATTATTAAATCTACTGAGGCAAGCAGTATTTCCTGTAGTTTTTGTCCTATCGCTATGTCTTGCTTTGTTCACCATAAAAAATACAAACCATCCAAAGCAGTTATAATGCATACAAGGTTATTAATTATTTTTAAATAAATAAAAATAAATAAATGTCTTTAATTTTATTTTATGAAATAACTAAAAACACTGAAATAAAAATGTACAGTGGGGTTTAAAGGACTAGACAACATTTTATTTAAAGGTGCTGTATGTAGGATTGACACCGAGTGGTTGACCTTGGTATTGCAGTCCAAATTCAAAATATTGGAGGGTTTTTTTTCACCTGGCCCCTCCTCCTCAGACTTGACGCACACGCAGGTTGCCAGATTGAGGACACCAACAGGAACGAGTGCACTTGACGATGAATGAAATGAAATGCGCTGTGTTTCCCGCCAAATGGCAACCCGGGGTGCCGAAATACAATTGGGTAAACTTGCAGTGGGCCGCTTTCACAAACCAAAACAGAGCGCGACATTCCAGCCCAGAACGCACATTTTCAAAGGAGAATAACTGACTGTAGCATTGTTTTTCAGATAAACAAGTATGCTAACTTAGCATGTTTCTTAAATATCTGCAAACATATTATAGTATTTTTTGCTTTACTAAAGTCAAAAACTTACATACAGCACCTTTAATTTGAGGAAAAAAGTGACTTGTCAAGGTATGATGTAAAACGAATAAGAAAAATTACAGATTCTGCACCATTTCTTTCTTTCCTATTTACTAAACACCCGATTTAAACTATGCAGATAATGTAACTTGTAATTAGTTATCCTGAATACATTTTATTCAGGATAACTGTAACTATAATTATAATTTTTTTTAATCTTACACTTTTTTTTTTTTTTTTTTTAAGCTCTAATTCAATAAATCTCTTGCTTTTACCTCACATTTTTGAGTCTGCAGTGAGTTTTACTCACGGGTACTCCAGATCTGAATCATCCAGTAACTGTTATTAATTTCATTCAGGTTTTTGGCCATTTGCGCTAACTTGCTTGTGTTTTAAATGAACGTCTCACAGATTTAGATTCTGACGTTGTGTCCTCTCAGTTCTGCCGCTGTTAGTATGGTATGTATGACCACGCTAGTAAAACAGACTTTATGGTGAAGGATGTGAACAGTAAAGTCACGGGTGGTTTACATGTATTTATTTATTTTTCAAATGCATGCCTGACCAATGCACATTCTTACTGCTCACTGCATGTCCAACTCTACATGTGACAAAATGCATTGTGTAAACCTCACAGTGGTGATTACACGGGACAAGATGGAGCGTTACAGTTTACACTGTTTTCCACACATAAAACACTTAGAATGCCTTAGAAACTGTATAGCAACTGTCTTGTGCACAAGCTTGTTACATTTTCTTCAGGAAATATTTTTCATCCAGTTTGTACAATGAACAGTGCAGAATCAACTGGCTTAATTTCCACATTAATTGATTTAAATAATCTTTTTGCTTGTTGTGTTTGTATAACGATGTTTTTAACCTCAATCAAAAAGTTGTATTGACTAAACCTTTTGAGTGTAAAGTCATGAGATCTTGTTGTGACGTTGTCTGTGTATTTATTTGTGTATAAACGGCTGTTGTTTTTTTAATCAAATTGAAGTGTTGGTATGGATTTGATTCTGATCCCTTATAATTTGTTTTTTCAATTTAGGATTGACCAGGACGTGCGTGGAAAGGTGGAGATGGCCACCGCAGCAGTGCCAGAGTGAGTCAGAGGAGTTGAAGAGAGAAGCTGGAAGAATCAACGAATGTATTGGGTTTCTTTTAACTGGAGAACACAAGATCTTGATGTCAGAAAAGTGCGTTTTAAAGGAGTAGTTCATCGCAAAATGAAAATTCAGTCATTGTTTACGCTGTCTCATGTCATTACAAACCCATGTGACTTTTTTTTTCTGTGGAGTACAAAAGAGGATATTTAACAGAATGTCCAAGCTGCTCTTTTTGATATTCGTAGTCCCCATTCACTTTCATTGAATGGAAAAGAGGAGCTTTTGTGCTGCTCACAAGAGTCATACAGATTTGGAACGACGTGAGGGTGAGTAAATAATGACAGAATTTTTATTCGTGGGTGAGCTGTGCCTTTAAAGTTTGGACTGTCTGTTACGCTATGTGACTTTTTTTTCTCCCTGTTGCATTTGTGTGCCAAACGCTTGTCAGATGGCATCTGATTTCTGCGTTAAACATTTTAATAACCTTTTATATGTATCATTTCAATAAGTAGATACTGTCAACATGTTCTAGTTCCAATTGTATCTTGCTCTTAGTTAAGGCACTCCGTTTTCGAACTAGTCGATGCATGTTCTGCGTTACATCTAAATATATATTTATATCAAACGGCAATCAAGGAGAAAGATTAATATATTTTTATGACTGAAACGTTATTTTTAGGGCCACAGTCTGTCGTTGTTTGTCATCTGCTCACTGAACATCTCATAGTTATACCACGTATTGTTTACTGCTGATTTGGTGTATGATTCGAGATCGTGTAGAAATGTGCAAAGGAGACCGAAAGGAATTAAGCAAATCTGTATCGCACCAGTAACATTTCTTCAATTCACTTTCATTAATGGTTTGGGAGGGTGGGGTTCTTGTATGTTATGTTCTTGCAAGTAAACTTCCACAAGAAAATCACATTGTCATCGTGAATGTTCTACAACACTCCAACAGTTCAGTGTTGTGGATTTTCCCTTACAGAGAACAGGACATGATCAAGTGTTTCCACTTGGCTCCTTTTGAACACAACTGAAATGTATGTTTTAGGTTAGTTTGTTCCTCATATTTTACATACTACTTTTACAAAAAAAAATTATATAAAACCAAGGGAAGATTTATACATTTGCATATAGTTGTATTTATCCATTTGTGCTATCTTATAAGTATGGCAGTATAAAAACTAAATAATAAATTACAGAATTTCTATCCAAATGAATAAAACATTCACACTGACAATTTTTTATAAAAACACATAGACCATTAAATAACATATTACTACTGGCATCATAACATTTTTAACCGTTAGTAATGATTGACCATAAATAGCTTTGTACCTTAAAAAGGCTTCCATACATTTGATTGCTACATCTTCAAACTTGTTTGCCAAAAGATGGTGTTGCTGCACAATCCATTTCAAGTCCCCAGCTCCATAGACACACACTGCCCGTATGTGCATCCCAGTGGAGACTGAACCATTTCTGGTTTCCCATTTGTTTTAATGGGGAAATCGGTGCCACATGTGTTGAGCAGATACTTCCACTGGACAGGTGACTTAAGCAGATCCTGCATGCAGTTGATGTCCGCTTGAACTCGAGACCAAGAGGCGTAGATCACATGCTCCAGTTTGCTGGCCACAAACACATTGGACAGGCAGGACGTAATGGCCCTTACTGCATCTTTAAAGATCTCAGGAGACTTCTGGTCCACGTGAACACAGTACACATTGTGAGGAGTGTAAATGGCTCTCAGGAGCCTTTCAAACATCTCGATCTTCTCATGTATCACCATGGAGTAAGCAATGGGGGAATCTTTCTCTTTACTGAGAGAAACCGTCAGAAATCCTCTGTCTCGGATGTAGGATGGACAATCCTTGGTTGCGTTGACCCGACCTGCAAGAAACTACTGCCACTGTATCAGTAAAGTATATGAGGCAGCCTCTCAGGTTCATTTGAGAGATGTAACAAAAGGCAGGTGTATACAGTAGTCAAGGAAGGGGCTGCTCACCCATGGAGAAAACCCTGGTTATCAAGGATTCATTTCTATGGGGATAATGAAAGGTAATTTCCTGGGCTATAGAAGCAAAAACAAAATGAGGTCAATTTCTGTATAGACAGTTATGGCTACAAAAACTATTTAACATTTTACAAGTATTTAAGGAAAGAAAATTACAATGTATGTGCAAACAGCAGAGCATGTTTTCATATGACGTGGGGTAATTTGTCACAAACAATCCGCAATTTTTACAGGCTTATGACAGAACATTGCAACAACAAAAAATGTATATGCATATAAAATACATGCATATGTGTTTCTGTGATAAGTCTTGACAATAGCTCGCACTCTGGCACACTGTAAATACTTATAGGTCTTTAACCCCGCTCCTGGGGACCCACTGTCCTGCAAGGTTTATTTCCAACCCGCTTCAGAACACCTGGCCTGTGACTTTTCAAGTGATCCTGAAGACCTTGATTAGCTGTTTAAGGCATTTGATTAGGGCTGAACTCTGCAGGACTGTGGGTCCCCAGGAGCATGGTTGAAGACCTACAGGTGCATCTCAATAAATTAGAATGTCATGGAAAAGTTTTATTTCAGTAATTCAACTCAAATGTGAAACTTGTGTATTAAATAAATTCAATGCACACAGACTGAAATAGTTTAGGTCTTTGGTTCTTTTAATTGTGATGATTTTGGCTCACATTTAACAAAAACCTAACAATTCACTATCTCAACAAATTAGAGTACTTCATAAGACCAATAAAAAAAACATTTTTAGTGAATTGTTGGCCTTCTGGAAAGTATGTTCACTTGGTAGGGGCTCCTTTTGCTTTAATTACTGCCTCAGTTCGGCGTGGCATGGAGGTGATCAGCTTGTGGCACTGCTGAGGTGGTATGGAAGCCCAGGTTTCTTTGACAGTGGCCTTCAGCTCATCTGCATTTTTGGTCTCTTGTTTCTAATTTTCCTCTTGACAATACTGGTTCAGGTCTGGTGAGTTTGCTGGCCAGTCAAGCACACCAACACCATTTACCAACACCTTTTGGTGCTTTTGGCAGTGTGGGCAGGTGCCAAATCCTGCTGGAAAATTAAATCAGCATCTTCAAAAAGCTGGTCAGCAGAAGGAAGCATAAAGTGCTCCAACATTTCTTGGTAAACGGGTGCAGTGACGTTGGTTTTCAAAAAACACAATGGACCAACACCAGCAGATGATATTGCACCCCAAATCATCACAGACTGTGGAAACTTAACACTGGACTTCAAGCAACTTGGGCTATGAGCTTCTCCACCCTTCCTCCAGACTCTAGGACCTTGGTTTCCAAATGAAATACAAAACTTGCTCTCATCTGAAAAGAAGACTTTGGACCACGGGGCAACAGTCCAGTTCTTCTTCTCCTTAGCCCAGGTAAGACGCCTCTGACGTTGTCTGTGGTTCAGGAGTGGCTTAACAAGAGGAATACGACAACTGTAGCCAAATTCCTTGACACGTCTGTGTGTGGTGGCTCTTGATGCCTTGACCCCAGCCTCAGTCCATTCCTTGTGAAGTTCACTCAAATTCTTGAATCGATTTTGCTTGACAATCCTCATAAGGCTGCGGTTCTCTCGGTTGGTTGTGTATCTTTTTCTTCCACACTTTTTCCTTCCACTCAACTTTCTGTTAACATGCTTGGATACAGCACTCTGTGAACAGCCAGCTTCTTTGGCAATGAATGTTTGTGGCTTACCCTCCTTGTGAAGGGTGTCAATGATTGTCTTCTGGACAACTGTCAGATCAGCAGTCTTCCCCATGACTGTGTAGCCTAGGGAACCAAACTGAAAGACCATTTTGAAGGCTCAGGAAACCTTTGCAGGGGAATTGAGTTGATTAGCTGATTGGCATGTCACCATATTCTAATTTGTTGAGATAGTGAATTGGTGGGTTTTTGTTAAATGTGAGCCAAAATCATCACAATTAAAAGAACCAAAGACTTAAACTACTTCAGTCTGTGTGCACTGAATTTATTTAATACACGAGTTTCACAATTTGAGTTGAATTACTGAAATAAATGAACTTTTCCACGACATTCTAATTTATTGAGATTCACCTGTATGTGCCATTTAGTGCACTGAAGTTCACTGCATAAATGTATAGTGAATGAGGTAGCTATTTATTTTCAGATTTTGGCCACAGTACCTGCAGCAAAAACAAACGCGGCTGCTATTGTATAATGCTGCGTTCAAGTCCTCTGGGAAGTTCGTACTTACGAGTTGACAAGTCGTAATTACAACGTCAGGTGCGTTCAAGTCACTTGGTCGGAACAAGATGGCGATTTAACTTTTCTACAATTCAATGATTTTTTTTAAAACTCTACATCTACAAAATAATGAATAAATTGCATCGTGTTTTTGCTTTTTTCTGTTTTTATTCAATTTACGAAGGTGATGTAAACTGAATCATTATATATTCTATGGTAATTATACAATAATATAATATTTTGTTACTTATGTAGTTTTATTGTACATTACAAAAAAAATTATAATTGTATTCATTTCAACAAATTGACCACCAATACAGAGCTGCATATCTATAGTCTTCACTGACACGCCCCCAGCTTGGAAACTCTAGGCTTAAAGAAAATTTTGAGGTCCCCACTCATAATAACGACTTTGTGATGGTGTTCATGTGCTTTCAACTAGTAAATACGATCTGTCCGACATGACTTGAACGCACCATAAGGCTGTATACCATAGACTGTATAAAAACATGGACGTAGTGTCCGTGACGTAACCCGTAGACTTTCGAAGAGCGTTTTGAAGCCTAAAGTGGGCGGAGCCAGCCGTCGCCATCTTAGCAGCGCGTCACTCCCGGATAATCGAAAATGGGCAAAGAGGCGGGAGCTGGCTGCTGAAACCACGCCCACCTAGCTCGACGGTGCTGACAGCAGCAGCAATCCACCTGTCACGCTACATCATGTGTCTCTCACCGGTGAGGAATCTTTAAAAGTACTACAATACCAGGAAGAAAGATCGGGTTGTTGATGTTTGCCTGCCATCCTCGCTCTGTCAGCACAGCGTGCGTGAACGCGCTGATGACGTATCCTGTCTGCGCGAACAGGGTGCACAGAGGTATGCTAATACATACCTTGACAGGCAGGTAGGAAAGCATATTAAAACGCTCGGACCGAG